CGCTCACCGTTTACGGAAGAAGCTCATCTTCCCTTTCCTCCCCCTCCCCCCAGCGCACCTCCTCTCTCCTCTCACGCACCTCTCGTGAAAAAAGCTCATCTCCTGCGTCACCTTGTCGATAGAGTCCTCCAGATTCTGCAGCTCCAGGTCAAAGTGCTGTCAGAGATGGGGGTGGGGTGGGGTGGAGTGGGGTGGGGTAGGGTGGGGTGGGGTGGGGCGGGGTGGAGTGGGGTGGGGTGGGGTGGGGTGGGGTGGGAGTCCAAACGGTCACCTTGTCGATAATGTCCTCCAGATTCTGCAGCTCCAAGCCGAAGTGCTGCAAGGGGATGGTGGGGGAGGGAGAGTTGGGGGGTGGGAGATTTGCAAAGGGGCTGACTGAATCAGACTCTTCATCTCCTGCGTCACCTTGTCGATAATGCCCTCCAGGTTCTGCAGCTCCAGGTCAAAGTGCTGTCGGGGAGAGAGGCAGGGCAGGGGAAGGGGCAGAGGAAGGGGCAGAGGAAGGGGCAGGGGAAGGGGCAGAGGAAGGGGCAGAGGAAGGGGCAGAGGAAGGGGCAGAGGAAGGGGCAGAGGAAGGGGCAGAGGAAGGGGCAGAGGAAGGGGCAGAGGAAGGGGCAGTCGGAGTGGCATGCGTTGACGCGATAATGTCCTCAAGATTCTCCAGCTCCAGGTCAAAGTGCTGCCAGAGTGGTGAGGAAGGGAGAGGGGGGTGGGGTGGGGGTTGGGATATTGGCAAAGGGGTTCAATCAGATTCTTTGTCTCTTCGGTGACCTTGTCAATAATGCCCGCTAGATTCTGCAGCTGCAAGCCCAAGTGCTGGGAAAAGCAGGGGAAGACGGAGGTGCAGGGGAAGACGGAGGTGCTGGGGAAGACGGAGGTGCAGGGGAAGACGGAGGTGCAGGGGAAGACGGAGGTGCAGGGGAAGACGGAGGTGCAGGGGAAGACGGAGGTGCAGGGGAAGACGGAGGTGCTGGGGAAGACGGAGGTGCAGGGGAAGACGGAGGTGCTGGGGAAGACGGAGGTGCTGGGGAAGACGGAGGTGCAGGGGAAGACGGAGGTGCTGGGGAAGACGGAGGTGCAGGGGAAGACGGAGGTGCTGGGGAAGACGGAGGTGCTGGGGAAGACGGAGGTGCTGGGGAAGACGGAGGTGCTGGGGAAGACGGAGGTGCTGGGGAAAGCAGGGGGCAATGAGAAGCCAAAGTGCTGTCGGGAGGTCAGGGGTGGGAGGGGGACCCGGGGTAGGCAAGGCAATGAGATGTCGTGCCGTTAGAGTCTGCAGCTCCAAGCCAAAGTGCTGCCGGGGAGAGGGGCGGAGTGGGGGGGTGTGGGGGGGTGTGGGGGGACGGGCAGGGTGGGTTGGGTTGGGAGCTTGGCAAAGGAAACGAAGGGGGAAAGGGTATACGGAAATGCCCCTCCCATCCATGATTCATACCCCTCCCATCCATGCCCCATACCCCTCCCATCATACCCCCACCCCACCACGCACATCGAGCCTCTCCTTGTTAGCACCATGGCTAACACTCTTCTGCGATTTGCCCGTGGTCCACGTGATGTAGATCTTGTGCGTGCGCTTGGCATCGTGGTGGCCCACGTGGTGCCCTGCCCCCTGTGTTTCCCCCATGTGCCTCTCCTTCTTGGCACCATGACTAACGCTCTTCTGCGCTTTGCCAGTGTCCACGTGATGTCGATCTTGTGCGTGCGCTTGGCATCTTGCTGTCCCACACCCACCCCACCCAAACCAAACCGCACCGCACCCCACTGCACCACTCACATCGAGCCTCTCCTTCTTGGCACCGTGGCTGACGCTCTTCTGCAAACTCCCAGTGGTCCACGTGATGTCAATCTTGTGCGTGCGCTTGGCACTCATGTGCTGCAAGTCTCATCCATACCCTTCCCAACCACACCCACACCACACCCCACAACTCACATCGAGCCTCTCCTTCTTGGCACCGTGGCTAACGCTCTTCTGCGATTTGCCAGTGGTCCACGTGATGTCGATCTTGTGCGTGCGCTTGGCATCATGGTGGCCCTCGTGGGGCAGCCAGAAGCACACGGAGAATTCGCCCGTCTCGTCCGCTGTGAACCCGAAATGCCCCTCCGCCACATCATGCTGCCAGTGCAGCTGCTGCCCTGACGGGTCTGTCACCTGGGGGCAGAGGGAGACGCAGGAAAACGGCACGGGGAGCACTGTTTCATGTAGTGCAGTGACGACACGGCGGGAGCAAGCATGCGGTGTAATGTGCCTTGCTGTAAGGGGAAGATGCCCCTGTGCCACATCGTGGTGGCCCTCGTGGGGCAGCCAGAAGCACACGGAGAACTCGCCCGTCTCGTCCGCTGTGAACCCGAAATGCCCCTCCGCCACATCGTGCTGCCAATGCAGTTGCTGCCCTGATGGGTCCGTCACCTGATGGGAAGGAAGAAGAGACACTAAGGAATGGGAACATCTGGGGAACATGTGGGGAACTGAACCTTGCTGTGAGAGCCAACACGCCCCTCTGCTACGTCGTGCTGCCAGTTCAGCTGCTGCCCTGACAGGCACGACGTCCCTCCGCCACGTCGTGCTGCCTGCCAGTGCGAAGCAGCTGCTGCCCTGACGGTCCGTCACCTGGTGGGAAGGACGAAGACGGGGCGAAAGGAAGCTCGTCGCGCGAAAGGAGCCTGCTTTTCGCCAATCCGTCACCTGGAGGAGCGCTGCCAGCTCGCTGGCTCGTCAATCGTGCGAGTACCGAGGAAGCAAGTCGCACGCTCACGTACCGTCGCGAGATAGTTCGTCTGTCCGTCCCTGTTTTGCTCCAATCTCACGCTCCCTGCGGTATTGTGGTGCACGGAAATTCATCCCAACCTGAACAACCCTTCAAAGGATTCATGGCTGACTGTCAGCAAAAGTCGCCTGACCAACCCTTCAAAGAATTCACGGCTAATTGGCGATTAAGTATCCTGCCAGAGCATTCGCTTACTGACTGGCCATTCTGTCACTTGCCTGAGCGTTGACTTTGAACGGCTCCCCGTGACCGTCGTTGACAGCCGTGTAGGATCCCGCTACAAGCACACCCTCGCGAACCTCCTCGTCGAAACACTTGGGATCGGTCGAGATCTCGAATCGCACGGTGTATGCGACGGCTGGCAACGTCGCACACGCGCATGCGACGACCAGCACGAGCACGAGCGTAAACGGCGACATTGAGAACGCCGTACTTGAGAAGTTAATGTATAGCGAATTAAATGAAATAAAGGACACCAGTATCGTTGAAAGGGGTGGAACCGCGAAGAATTAATAAACAGTTACAGAGTTGGCGACCTGATAACGCGTACAATTGCACAGTCGGGAATCTATTTAATTCCTGAAGAATCGTATCATATTTAAGATGGGACGACGCCTATTTTCCTGGCTTTTGGCTGGTGCCAGGCAGTCCGTAATCTACGCTAGGAGCCAACAAAATTCCAGCAGTAACGGAATCATGCTGATCACATCACAGCCCTTCTTGGAATTGCCGTAGAGGCGTTATCGCGGATAATGCCTGTTGTCCAACAACCAGACGCGTTATCTGTAATTTTGGCAATCTACACGATTTGAGTGCCATCATACAGCCACATGAATTTCCCAATGTCAGCAGCTTCGAAACTTCAATGCACTACATTCAATGTTACGGAATTTAGTAAACTTCAATGTAGTCCTTCTCATTCGGCATGTCCACATGCTCCAGTTAAAACTCTATAAACGACATAACATAATAGTCCCAGTTTCCTGCCAAACATCCAATTTTCTCAGAAATTATTCTATCTCCTCCTTTACTCTCTTCCCGCAATATAATCCTCCTGCCATGCCTCCATCTCCTTATTCAGCATCTCCCTGAGCTCTCATGCTCGTGCATTGTCCCACCTATCCCTCCCATCCTTCTGCATCTCTCTCCCCTTCCCCATCCTCCCCTTGGAATCCCCTTCCATCGCCTCCTTGCCCACAACTCGTATCCCCCGCCCTCCTTTCTCCATCTTCTTCACCAAATCCCGCTCCCACCTCTTTCTACTCCCACGCCAGCCCAGCCGGAAACAAAGAATCTTGTAGTTGACGCACCTCCCAGAGGGCAAGAGCAGCTCTTCCATCTTCACCAGAGACGTGAGCTGCTGCAAGGATTTATGTTTGAAGTCTGAAAAAATAGCTCCAGCCCAACTTAGCCGAAGGTAGAGCGTCTTGTGGTTGAGGCACCTCCCAGAGCGCAGTAATAGCTTCTCTAGCTTCACGAGAGTGGTAAGCTGCTGCAACCTATCATCCGCCACCCCAGTGCTCCTCAAATCAACCTGCTTCAGAGTGGTGACCTTTCCCACATGCGCCATCCCAGCAGAAGTGACATGATCACACCCAGCAAGCTCCAAGTGCTTCAGCAGGGGGAGCCATGTGAGGTTCACCAGGCCTGCATCGGTCAAAATGGTGTGTGAGAGGGGGAGATACTCAAGCCTACTCAACGCCTCAAACGCCTCAACGCCCTTCAAGTTCCCATCTGCAACGGTTGTGCCACTCAGGTGCAGCTTCTTCAGCCATGGGAGCCTGTAGAGGCAACTGATGCCCTTTGTGATGAGGCCTGAGGATCCAGCCAGGTTGAGAGTGGTCAGGTGGGTTAGGCTACCACCATGAGGAAATGGGAGGATGTGGGCATAAGAACAGGAACACCAAGGGACACATAATATTAAAAGGAGAAAAACAGAACTAGAATATCAGAAAAACTTGTAATCAAGTGCGATGTAACCAGCACACGCATTGTCCAACAATGAAATGTCGAGAGTGGGATTTGAACCCACGCCCTTTCGGACTGGAACCTTAATCCAGCGCCTTAGACCAACTCGGCCATCTCGACACATGCTTACGTTAACAAATAACTGTTTTCAGCAGTTAAATAAAAAGGAAGCTCACACCATTCATACTGCACATGTGCAGTTGAGACTGGACACATGTCCTTGATCTCTCAACCAGCAGCACCCATACTACTGAGCACGCCTCACCTCACTCATTCCCCAACACGCACCTCGAACATGAGTGAGTAGCGGCCATCCCGGTTGCGCATGCGCAGGTACGACTGGCACGTGTCCTTGTCCTCCCCGGGCAGCAGCAGGTAGATCTCGTATGTGCTCGTATCTTGTCCTTGCCCATCTACCTCCTCTCTAGCATGCCCACCTGCGAGCACTGCTCGCGACTGCACAGACAGGCCATGGGGGAGAAGAAAGGGAAACGAACAGGAGAAGAACGGGAGAGGAGAGAAAGCAAGGAAAGGTGTAAGCTGAATGAACTGACAACCAGGAGGAATGTGGATATTGTGTATTGGAGGGCTGGACGGAAGTGCAGGTGAGTCCTCCTGTTGCAGTCACATGGATTGCACATCGCTGGACCGAGGAGGACTCACCTGCATGAGAGCTCCAACAACAGGACTCACCTGCAGGACCTCTGTCCAGCCCTAATGTGGAACTTAAGAATATCCACAGGTATTTCGAGCACACACAGGCAAGAGTATAAGATGCGAGGGTGAATAGCTACGAGAGTGGAGAGAGCTGTAGCGGAGCAAGGCAGATGGGAGGTGCAACGCACCTATTTCGTACACGTGGACTGTGCGTGCTACCTTGGGTTCTCAAAGATGCACGAGAGAGTGGTTTGCTCCCAGGCTGGGAGGGTCATGTCACATGGAAGCTGTGGAAGGCGACAAACAGGGAAGGCGAGAGAAAGAAGGTAAGAAAAGAAAAGAGGTTGATGGGTGAAACGAGCTTCACATGGCATGGCGGCCACAACAGATCTCCATGGTTTGGATCGCAAGGTCCCATGCATCACATGGCATAGCATAGCTTCGAGCAACACCATATGGAGAGCAATTCCGCCATGCCACCATAGGTCGGTTTGTCTGCGCTTGAGATGACCCTTCCCGCCTCGAGGTTCTCAATCTGAAGCGCAGACAAACCAACCTTAGACTTCATAGATGTCAGGTGGTATAAAATCAGAATCTGTTTGAATCTGACTTATACATGGTGTGAGAGTGTATCACATCCCCGGAAGGGGGGGTCAACTTTCACAAACAGCAGCCTCGATATTGTCAGAGAGGCAAGAATTACTGCGACTAGCAGCCCTGCCACCGCCGTAGCACTCCAGCCATGCGAGCCATGGCGTCCAGCTAGGAGAAATTAGGAAAAAGTATCAGCCGAGCCGAGCATCATGTTTTAAGTTAAGTCAAAACCCCACCACTGGAGCCATGGCGTCCAGCTAGGAGATAATACTATTAGGAGAAAGTATCAGCCAAGAAGCACCACACTTGGAGCGGTTGCTGATAAGAGAATAGGGGGAAAGAGGAAGTGCTGGAGAGAACCATGCGTAGATGGAGGTGCGAACGCAACTACTGAACCCTTCAGGAACACGAGGTGGTTATAAGGTGAGCTCACATGTCAGATGGTGAGAAAGGTCGCGAGAAGGTGGCTCAAAATCCGAGTCCGCGTGGACGCTACCTTATGAGCAAGGGGTATGAACAAAATGAGATGCGAAAACGAGAGATAATTCACATCGCATGTGAGAGCGACTTGCACAGGGCAAACACAGGGCAGGATAGACGCATAGGCATGCAGGGAGGCAGGAGCGGCAACAACCAGGCAGCCGTGGCAGCCACGACAGCCATGCAGTCGACAGTCGACAGCATGGAATGAAACGAGTAGACCCGACTCGAGTAGCCCATGAAGCATTTCGACATGCTCTCCCGCTGTCACATGTGACCCGTGTACTCGCTGCTTTCAACAACTCTCAGAATCTGAATCGCTTTTGAAACCTTTTCGATGTGTCGTGCTGTGGTGCGTGATCCGTGTGCTTGCTGCCGCGACGGTCATCAGCATGACATCACTCGAGGTCATGCATGCACGTGGCAGTCCTGATGTCCGATCAAGATAACGTCACTTCCAGGTCGCAGCGGGCAGCTCATGAGCACCACCGTCTCATGCGAGGGTGAACGGACCGAAACGGTAGGATGTGAATCTCCATCGTCGATGGACTTTGCCCAAGACTTTGAATGTCGACATCAGTCCGTCCATCCATAGACGACAGCTCGCGAGACTGTCCCCTCGCCAGCTGGGGTCCTTCGCGAATCGTCGTGCGAACACACTTTCCCGTCTACCCAACCCGCCCACAGGGCATAAATAATCCTTCCATCGCACGCCATCCCCACCCTCGTCGGCGACACGAGGCACGCATATGCTAAACAAAATCTGCCCGCAGAAACGCGACATCTGCGAAGCCAATGTCCTGTGTGCGATGACCCTGACGAAGAGATTAACCGTCGTCGTTGGGGGCGTCCGACTCTTTCTGGAGGACCCGCGATCTGTTACATGTCGCTGGGCGAGAGCACGAAGTGAACAAATTTGAACAAGGGCGTGGACGGATTCAGTTTGGTTTGATGGTCCGTCCAAGTCACCGTTCGCCAGGGAAAATCGTGCGACTCCTCGAATTCAGTGTTTTTCGCAGTTTAGCATGGATACACGTTTTGGTAACTCGCCAGAATGGAACTCTCCCTGTTCGCATGGCATTATATGAAGGCGCTGAACTTGCGAAGACCATCAACAAAAACGCGCCGCATCTGTTCCAACGCAAATGGGGTCAAACACTTTGCTGACCTACATTTCCATATCCATTGCGAGAGATTTGGCCATTCGCGATTCGCTCGACCATGCTGACGTGGCAGCTGGAAGTTAGGGCAGGCATGGTCCTGAAACTAGGCGAGAACACATAGGACTTTCGCGAACTTCGCTGTGCAGCAACTCCGCCGCAAACAGTGGTCATCACGCGAGCACGCGCAGAGAGCGTCGGAACTCTAAATTGCGGCCTCGAAGCGCATGGCGTCCTGCTGGTTCTCTGCGACTCGCAGTTGTTGCGACTCTCATTGCATGCAAGCGTGTAACTGAGTTTGCTGATAACCCGGGACCCGAGCTCCGCCGTGCCACGCGCAGCCGTGCGCAGCTCCGCCGTGCGCAGCTCCGCCGTGCACAGCTTCCCCAAGAAGGTCTGCCCTAATTTGCCATCGTCACGACGCCGCACGTTCCCGGTCGCTCCAAGTGAGAGTCTCACTCGCGATGCGTGACTGCATCCCTCCCATCCCCCTGACCTATTTCTGAGACGTAAGAGTCTCGCATTCCCCCATCTCCTAGCCGCACCGGTCCCTTCCACCCGACCTAACTGCCAAGCTCGACCGAGCCAAGCCCTAACCAACCGAACTGCCCTAACGACACCCCAGCCTCCGTCCCACCTTCCCATCCCTCCAAGCCTCTGAGCCTCCCACCCTCCCATCCTCCCACCCTCCCAAAGCTGGGCCGTCCCACGGGGGAGGTTAGTTCTGCGGGTGCCACAGCACATTACTTTTCAGACTCGTCATTCTGCGACCTGCCATCTGACGTCCGCACTCATCCTCATCTCTCCGTCGCCTGGCCGTTTCTGCAGCAGCCATTCCCCCGCCTGCTTCCTCCCATTTGATAAAAGCGATCCCCTGCCCGTCCCACAGGCTCGTGGTTCCTCCAGCACTCACCGCCTCTACCCCCTCCTCTCCTCTTACCACCTGCTGCCGCTCCCTGCTCCCTGCTCCCCGGCTGGAAACTTTGAGGTACAAGCGGGCGGCAGAGGAATCGGCGGCAGAGGAACGGGCGGGCAGAGGAACGGGCGGTGGCAAAGTGGATGGCAGAGGAACCGGGGGCGGAGGACTAGGCGGCAGAGGAATGGGCGGCGGTGGGTCCAATGGTTTTAGAATGAGCAGCAGAAGACCGGGCGAAGGTGGAACGGGCGGCACAGGAAGAGGAACGGGCGACGGCGAAACGGGATGAAGAGGAATGGGAGGCGCGTGAATGGGCGGCGGTGGCTCCGATGGTTTTAAAATGGGCAGCAGAGGAAAGTGCGAAGGCGGAACGGGCAGCAGAGGAAGAGGAATGGGAGGCAGAGGAGTGGGAGGTGGATGAATGGGAGGCGGTGGGTCCGATTCTTGCAGAATGGGCAGCAGAGGATCAGGCAGAGGCGGAACGGGCGGCAGAGGAAGAGGAACGGGCGGCGGCAGAATGGATGGCAGCAGAACGGGAGGCAGAGGAACGGGAAGCGGAGGGACGGGGGTTTGGGGCATTGGAAGCAGAGTATAAGAGGGGTGGAAGTGGCAGAGGGAGAATGGATTAGCGCAAACGTGCGACAGGGGGATGGGAGGCGGTGGGAATGAGAAGCGGAGGCATGGACGGGTCAGGGTGGTTTGCTCCAGAAGTTGCAAATCTCGATACCGCATTGCTGAAAACGGCAGCATTGGATTCGTGATTGCACTCGTTGCCAGACCATGGGAAGCGGAGGCGTGGACGGTTCAGGGACCAGTGTGGTTTGCTCCAGGGCAGGAAATTGGGGCGTCCAAAGCAGGCAGTCCTGGGAAGGCATGGATGGTGGTATGGTATGGGATGGGGCGTTGAAGGCACGACGAGAAGGTGTGGCTTGCTTTTGAGTCGACTCAAATCCAGGGCTGGAGCTTGGGGCGTCCAAAGCAGGCAGTCCTGGGAAGGCATGGATGGTGGTATGGTATGGGATGGGGCGTTGAAGGCACGACGAGAAAGCACAGCTTGCGTGGCGGCTTCTCCGCGTCAGTGATAAAGGAGAATGGTGGAATGTGCAAGTCTCAATACCGCATCGCTAAAACAGGCAGCAGGGGTTTCGTGATTGCACTCATTGCCAGAGCAGCACGTGCACTGGTGCATGAAAGCAGGTGCCTTGATCCAAACAGAGCTCAACCTTGCTCTCCTGCCTCTCCATCTCGCCCTTCCTCACCGTCTCGCCCTCCACCTCGCCCTCTTCACACTCGCCCTCTTCACACTCGCCCTCTTCACACTCGCCCTCTTCACACTCGCCCTCTTCACACTCACCCTCTTCACACTTGCCCTCTTTCCTCTCCAAGCCTCCCTCTTCTGCTCTCCTCAACCCCTATCTGCTACCTGAACTGGTTCCTTCCACGTCTGATAATTCATCCTTCGGGATCGGCCCAAGAAGCGTGATATAAAACTTTCAAGCACTGCTGGGTTTTTGGCTGGAGTACCTTACCTGAAAAGAGAGGGCAGGGACTGTGCCGGCCTGCAACTCTTCACCAACATTCCTTTCACCGAGTGGCTCAGGGTGGTTGAAATGCTTTGTGCGCCGCGCGGCTGCCTGACCTCCCTTCTGTACTGCCCGCCCTTCTGTACTGACCTCCCTTCTGTACTGCCCGCCCTTCTGTACTGCCCGCCCTTCTGTACTGCCCGCCCTTCGGTACTGCCCGCCGCTACCCGCCAGTGGCTCGCAATGCAATGCTCCGCTGTTCGCCTCAGGGTTGACTTGATTGATACGGTGCGGTGCCACTTGTATCATTGATGTCGTATACTGTATTATTGATACCGGTAGTCACATTCTCTCTTCAGTTATATCTGAGGCCATTGTAGGTATAAGTCGTTATGATGCTTGGTTTATGATGCATGGGATGAAAAACAGGCTTATGATGCAAGATCTATGATGGATCGAATGAGCAGCATTGTGATGGCTTGATTGAATCCGACGCTCAGGAGGAGCATGGACGAAGCAGCACTGCTGGCGGCACTCAGTTGGAAGTGCTGCTGCGGCCATGCGCCTCTGAGAATGCCATTTGGGGTGCAGCCATTCTCATAACTGCCCCCCCTGCTCAAAGGAGACTACTGTGGTCCACCCATGCCGCCTCCCATGTTGCCCCCAGGCCCACCCATCCCTCCGCCCATCCCGCTGCCCATCCCACCGCCCATCCCTCCACCCATCCCTCCGCCCATCCCTGCGCCCATCCCTGCGCCCATCCCTCCGCCCATCCCTCCGCCCATTCCTCCACCCATCCCTCCGCCCATCCCTCCGCCCATCCCTCCGCTCATCCCAGGTCCACCCTGGCCGGGTGCTGCCTCCATCCCTCCGCCCATCCCTCCGCCCATCCCAGGTCCACCCTGGCCGGGTGCTGCCTGCGACCCTGGAGCAATCCACCCTGACCCGCCCATGCCTCCGCCGCCCATGCCTCCACCAACCATGCCTCCACCGCCCATGCCTCCACCAACCATGCCTCCGTCACCCATGCCGCCGCCGCCCATGCCTCCGCCGCGCATGCCTCCCCCAGGACCCATGGCTGACTGAGATCCGGGAGCAGAGGAACCAGGTCCGTCCATGCCCCCTCCCATGCCGCCGCCGCCCATCCCACCGCCACCCATTCCGCCGCCACCCATGCCGCCGCCGCCCATTCCGCCGCCGCCCATTCCGCCGCCGCCCATGCCTCCTCCGCCCATTCTGCCGCCTCCCATTCCTCCGGCGCCCATTCCGCCACCACCCATGCCTCCCCCAGGACCCATGCCTGATTGTGATCCCGGAGCAGAGGACCCAGGTCCGCCCATGCTGCCACCCATGCCGCCGCCACCCATGCCGCCGCCGCCCATGCCACCGGCGCCCATTCCACCTCCGCCCATTCCACCGCCGCCCATTCCGCCGCCTCCCATTCCGCCGCCGCCCATTCCGCCGCCGCCAATTCCGCCGCCTCCAATTCCGCCGCCACCCATCCCGCCGCCGCCCATTCCACCGCCACCCATGCCGCCGCCATCCATGCCGCCGGCGCCCATGCCGCCGGCGCCCATTCCGCCGGCGCCCATTCCGCCGCCGCCCATTCCGCCGCTGCCCATTCCGCCGCCACCCATGTTCCCCCCAGGACCCATGGCTGATTGCGATCCCGGAGCAGAGGAACCAGGTCCGCCCATGCCGCCGCCGCCCATTCCGCTGCCTCCCAATCTGCCTCCACCCATTCCACCGCCGCCCATTCCGCCGCCTCCCATTCCGCTGCCGCCCATTTCGCCGCCGCCCATTCCGCCGCCTCCAATTCCGCCGCCACCCATCCCGCCGCCGCCCATTCCGCCGCCACCCATGCCGCCGCCGCCCATTCCGCCGCCGCCCATTCCGCCGCCGCCCATTCCGCTGCCTCCCATTCCGCCGCCACTCATGCCGCCGTCGCCCATTCCGCTGCCGCCCATACTGGTTCCACCGATTCCGCCGCTCTGCTGCTGCTGCTGCTGCTGCTGACCGGTAGAGCGCCCGCCTTGCGCCCATCCGCGCATCATTCCGCGCAGCTTGTCCGCGCGGAGCCCCGCGGAGAAGCGGAAGGCCAACGCCACGTGGAGAGAAGAGAGGAGCGAGAGGAGGAGAAGTGCCGTGCTCAGGTCACGGCGACGACGATGGCTCGACGAAATTGAGACTCTCCGCGTCATTTTGCTTGTTCTGCCTACGATGTTGCTGAAATTTCCGCGTAGAATTGTTGTTAGCTGCGTAGGAGGTTGGAACTATAGAACTGGAAGCAGCTTAGAATTGGATAAGTCTGTTTTCGAGACAACGGGTGAAGAAGCTTAGATGAGTTGCCAAGGTGACCCACCCAGCCTTTTTGTAGTGTCGTCGCGCCGCAAGACGAATGTTGCACACATCGCAATGGCAATGCTGTAGCTTACGCGACGCGATGACTCAATCTTGCAAGAACTCAGCATTTTGAGTCAAACACACGAAATTTCAGTCAACGGTTGGGAAAAATGTTGACCACTGTAACCTCTGTCAGCAGCCGACTTTCTCAATTCGTCCTCCCCCCCACCAACGAAACCCAGAGAAACTGGTTTCCCTGTTTGAATCCGGCCCGATAATCGAATGACGTGCCACGCTGCACTTATACTGTTGTTACTCTACACCTTGAGAAAGCCTTTGCGTGAGTTTTCCTTCGCAGCCAAAATATACGTGTTGGGCAGTCATTCATCCACACCGCGATCGCGGATAAACTTTCCAAATAGAAGACTGCTTGGAAAGTGACTGCCATCAATCACACGCTCACCAGAGGGTCCTTGAGAGACATATCGCGATCCGCTTCTCGTTCGACCAAGTCGACGTGGCGAAATGCAGAGCTCGATCGACGGCAGGGCAGGGGTGTCTTTCGAGAAACAAGGCGAGAACGGAGGGGTCGTTTGTAACGGATCTACTAAGAAAAAGGGCATTTACCCATATACTAAGGGTACATTCCGCTGTGGACACATGTCCCAATCGATGTGTCCCAATCGAGTGTACCGCTCTGAACCGATCTGAACCAGAGACGCGAAAATTTCGAAACTAGGGTGCAATTCGGTGTAATACGATGCAATACGGTAGAAACAATTGGGACACATCGATTGGGACATGTGTCCACAGCGGAATGTACCCTAATTGCTTCTAGTACAACCAGAGAGTACCGTCATCGCCCAGATATAAGACATGTATGCAGGCCCTACGATATCAGGAATTTTTCCCTGAAATTCCTGATTTTCAGGGATTTTTTGGTACCTACACTGATTTTTCAGTGTTGAGAATTTTGTGACACTGATTTTTCAGCCTTTATTTCATAGTTGACACTGATTTTTCAGTCTCTTATCGAAGTGTACACTGAATGTACATTCCGAATCCTTCCTGTCAACCAACATTTTCAGGTATTTAACGTACGAATACGTAAGAGATTGACGGTTTAGAGGATCAACTGTCTCAGTGGTTAGTGATTTTCTACCGACAGGTGAGGGCCTGGTTCGAATCCCTCAGCTGATATGATTCGTCAAGCCTATCCTAGAACACATGGTTTTCATTTGCTTGAAAATCCAGGCTTTGATTTTTAGGAACCCTGAAAATTCAGGGTTTTTTTTTTAGGAACACTGAAAATCAGGGTTTTGTTCACAGGGACCCTGATGCATCAACGTCCCTTAAAGTGAATCTGAGGGCCTGCATGTATGTCTTATCTCATACATTAAAAAAATCAGTCTTATAAATGGACAAAAATCCGTTTAGAAGATACTTCCTCGTTATACATGTCATAATATTATGCTCTAGCCTATAGTGGGGTGCTCTATAGCGAGTACAACCCTTTTAGGGTTTGCTATTTGTATCCTCATTCTTGCTAGTGCAACACCCTTTTGCCTAACTCTCTCTTGCCTAGCTAGTGCTTTCCTAGCGATGGCTCCTCACTCTACCTACTATTTTGACATGCTATCAGAGCAGTGTCGCTCCTGGCCCGTGGGCCCGCCTGCTTCCGCTGCCCTACTGTCTGTCGCGCGCCCCGTGGCGTGCGATGTACATTTTTTTCTTCCCGCCACGCGCTCGGGGCGCGTGGCGGTTTTCTGCCCGCCATGCGCTCGGGACGCGTGGCGGTTTCCGTCAACTCGCGCGCCCGTCCCCGTCGACCTTCGCGCGGCTCCCCGTCGCCCTTCGCGGCGGCCCCGTCGACCCGCCCGCGGCTCCCCGTCGCCCTTCGCGGCAGCCCTGTCGACCCGCCCGCGGCTCCCCGTCGACCTTCGCGGCAGCCCCGTCAACCCGCGCGCGGATCCCCGTCGCCCTTCGCGGCGGCCCCGTCGACCCGCGCGCTGCCCCCGGGGACCTGTGCGCTCGTCCCCGTCGACCCACGCGTCGCCCTCCGCCCGCCCCCCCCCCCCCCCCCCCCCCCCCCCCCCCCTCCCCGACACACCTGAGTCTGCTTACCGCACACCTGAGTTCGCTTCCCGCACACTTGTGCACGATTCGCGCACACCTGAGGTCGCTTACTGCACACTCAGGGTATGGGGGTGATGGGTATGGGGGTGGCGGGTATGTGAGCCGTCACCTGCTCCTCCTCCTCCTCCGTCTCCCACTGCTGCAGCTGCCGCTGAGGGGGGTGGGTGTGTGGGAGTCGACGGAGTGGTGCTAGGGGGTGGGGTGTGAGTGACCCTAGGGGTGCAGTAGGGGGTGTGTGAAATGGGGGTGGGATAGTTTGGGGAGGTTGAAGGGGGTGGCCGCCGAGAAGCCAGCAGCTCCAGTCGCCCGTGAGACCGTTGCGCCAGTCGCTCGTGAGCCCGTTGCGCCAGTCGCCCATGAGCCCGTTGCTCCAGTCGCACGTGAGTCCGTTGCTCGTCTGCCGCTACTTTTAGCCGCGGAGCCAGTTACTCCAGTAGCCCGTGTGCTAGTTGCTCCAGTTGCCAGTGTGCCAGTTGCTCCAGTTGCCCGTGTGCCAGTTGCTCGAGTTGCGCCGTGTGCCAGCAGCTTCTGCTGCCGCCCACTACCTCCTCTCCTCTCATAGTCCCTCCTCCTCCACACTAGCCCTCTGCGATAGCCTCTAGCTTTGCTCATAATTGTGAACTTTAAACTATTGCTTCTTGAACTTGTGCTCAGAATGTGTGGTGACATTGTGATCCACCCTGAGCTTGTACTGCTTTGCTTGCTCTGGTGATTACACCCCACTTTGGCTATGGGGGTGTGTCAGAATATTATGCTCTAGCCTATAGTGGGGTGCTCTATAGCGAGTACAACCCTTTTAGGGTTTGCTATTTGTATCCTCATTCTTGTTAGTGCAACACCATTTTGCCTAACTCTCTCTTGCCTTGCTAGTGCTTTCCTAGCGATGGCTCCTCACTCTACCTACTATTTTGACAATACATTTGCCATTTGCCCCTACACAGAAATAGGTGTCTTAAAATGAGGCTACCCTGTTTATAAGAGACACCCGTATAATAGACAACCCCTATCTACTATTCAACACTGTCTTATATCTGGGTGATGACGGTAACAACTCCTGGAAATGACCAAGTCTCAGAGTTGCTAGGAAAATGCAGTAACAAATCTTGGAGGGTGAGTTGAGGAGAAGACAATCCTATTTCCCAATTGATTAGTTGGAAGTAGGAAAATGAAGAATGAACCAGAAGGCTCAAACCCCTTCCCTAGACCCCCTTGGGGTGCAGCCACCTTCCCCATGGCAAGGAGGGGTGCACTCCCTTTGGCCTTGCCCATGTGGCAACAAACAAGGTTCTCAACCAATTACATTTTAGATAGCAAGGATAGGAAATGCACAGCAATCACAAACCTGTGTTTGATATTTATTGGTTGTGTTTGAAGTGAGCGGCGGAAATGTTGTCGACTCACTCCTGGGGTTGTGTTTCGATTAGTCGAATTAGGTATGAGTTGCACTTACGTGGGTTGTGTTTGATCCAACTTGAACCAATTACGTGGGTTCAATTCATTAGCAATTTCGATTGGTTGGTTTCCCAATCAATCCACAATTCCCCGCAAGTCTCGCTTCTCCCTGTATTCTCAACCAATCAGATTTCCCCCCAAATCCCCCTCTCCGGTGGTTCGACGTATTGAGACCAGGTGGGGGTTGGGTCCGAATGTTACATCGTTCGACTCCGCCTCGCCGTATTCGTCGCGCGAGGGTATTCGTCGCACGAGGGTATTCCCCCGCGCAGTATCATTCATTGCGCGAGGAAATTCCCCCGCGCAGTAATCATCGCGCGCGGCGCGGGGTATTCCGCCGCGCCGAATTTATTGCGGGGAGGTGGGGGGGGGGGGGGGGGGGGGGGGGGGGGGGGAGAGAGGGGGGGGGGGGTAGAGGGGGTTGGTATTCCGCCGCGATCTCGTGTTTCAAACGTTTCTCGCTGCATGCGGAATCGGTGTTACTGAGCTTGGCGATGGCGGCAGAGGGACAATAGCGAGACCCGCGCGACGCCATGCGCGCATCTCCACAATCCGCATCTCCGCAATCCGCATCTCCGCAATCCGCATCTCCGCAATCCGCATCTCCGCAATCCGCATCTCCGCCATCCGCAGCTCTGCAATCTGCAGCTCCGCCATCCGCAGCTCCGCCACGCGAGCTTGTCAGCTTGCTGTTACCTGCGACCCGGGATTGCCACCATGCTTGCCGTACATGTCGCAGCATATTCCCCCGCCCTCACGCCCCCCCCCCCCTCCCCCCGCACCTGCTTCCCCCTGCCCCGCCCTTAATCGCCCTACCCTAATCACCATGTCGCAGCATATCCTCTGCCCTCAGGCTCCCACCCCGCTCCTTACCTCAGGCTCCCACCCTGCTCCTTACCTCAGGCTCCCACCCCGCTCCTTACCCTCTGCGTATTACTACCCTGCCCTGACCCGCCCTGTCCTAATCACCATGCTCTCCCGCTATCACTCCTAGTGCCCCTCCTTATCTCCGCGTTTCACATCGTCCGCACCTCCCACTTCCGCAGCCGTTGCAGCGTGCCTAACCTCAGCCTTTCCAAGCCCTAGCCACCCTACCCTACCCAACCTTACCACCTCCCACTCCCCCAGTCGCCCCAGCCACGTGCAGCCTCCCCAAGCGTAGCCTCTGATTGGTGGAGGGTAGGGTGGAGTGGGTGGAGTGACTGTGGTGGGGACAGGGCTGCTACTAGCAGTGGTTCTTGCTGATGTGACTGCATTGAGGCTGATGTGACTGCATTGAGGCTGATGTGACTGCATCGAGGCTGATATGACTGCATCGAGGCTGATGTGACTGCATCGAGGCCGATGTGACTGCATCGAGGCCGATGTGACTGCATCGAGGCTGCTGCTGCTGAGAGGTGGTACGGATGACAGTGACGATCCCACCTGCCAGGTGTGTGTCCAGTCGACTCTAAACTCGCATTGCAGATCGCACATGCTAGTTCAGTCCGTTTCTCGATCTCGCATCCCTTACCCAAGAACGCTACAAAACCCTTTCTCGCCGACAGCACTCTCAAAACCCCCTTCACTCCGAAACCCTCTGCACACTCAGCCATGCCAATTCGCTTCTGTCGCTGCTCATCCCAACCCCTTCTTTGTCTCGCCCATTGGACTCTTGACCCTTGTCCCGAAAGGGGACAGGGAGCGTGGGCAAATGGGGACAGTGGGCTGATGAGAGGACAAGCCGCAAGCAGCTTGGCCGTCACAGCAGCACGTTGAGCCAATCACAGCAGCACGTTGAGCCAATCACAGCAGCACGTTGAGCCAATCACAGCAGCACGTTGAGCCAATCACAGCAGCACGTTGAGCCAATCACATCAGCACGTTGAGCCAATCACGAATACCTAACATCGAGTCAGCACGTTCTTTTTTACAAGAGAATCGTTGAAGAGATTTTTCAAAGGGTTTCTCTCCTCCAGACAAGGAGATTACGAATAAGGTAGAGCTTGCGCGTGATTGAAATGTGTGAAGTGGTGGTATTGAACTGAGAATATACTGGTGTAGAGCGAGCGTGTGAGGGGAATGTGTGGCTTCTGTAAGTATTCATTTCATTCCCCTCGTGGTATGTGAGGTCGATAGCCACCTCTGCCATCAGTTGTGCTTTACCAACAACCTCAAGGATATACGGTAGCTTTTGATACGTACTTCATAACAGACAGCTGTAATTTGCCATCATATAGCATGTGTATAACCAGAACAGGGGTGCAATCTCTGCAACAACCCATGCTTCCTAAACCAATCATTGTACAACCTTGAGTTGGTTACACACTCGAGATGACAACAAAGCCTATGGGAATTCTTTCTTCTACTAAATGGCTTTTGGAGTACAAGCATCACCAGGGACCAGGATCATGTCTGACCAGCTCATGGGGACCCTGATCCGCCCTTACCACCTCCTATGTTACTGCCGCCACCGCCCGTTCCACTGCTGCCCGTTCCACCGCCATCCGTCGCCCCACCACCCGTTGTTCCGCCACCCGTCGTACCACCACTCGTCGCTCCGCCACCCGTTGCGCTGCCACCCGTTGCCCCACCACCCGTCGCACCGCCACTTGTCGCACCGCCACTTGTCGCACCGCCACTTGTCGCACCACCACCCATCGCACCGCCACCCGTCAATCCGCCACCCGTCGCGCCGCCACCCGTCCTGCCGCCACCCGTTGATCCGCCACCCATCGCACCGCCACCCGTCGCCCCACCACCCGTCGCACCGCCACCCGTCGCGCTGCCACCCATCGCACCGCCACCCGTCCCGCCGCCACTCGTCGCACCGCCACCCGTTGCCCCGCCGCCCATCCCTCCCCCGCCCATATTGCTGCTGCCCCCACCCAACCCGCCATCGCCCGTCCCTCCCCCTCCTTTTCCTCCGCTGCCCATTCCGCCTTTTCCCATTCCGCCGCCGCCCATTCCTCCGCCGCCCATACCCCCACCAGGACCCATGGCTGATTGCGATCCAGGAGCAGATGACCCAGGTCCGCCCATGCATCCACCCGTTCCTCCTCCGCCGATTCCTCTGCCGCCCATACCATCCCCTGATGGGTCGCTGATGCGGGAGCCATGGCAGCTGATGCGGGCGCACTGGCTGCGCCCCCAGTGGGGGCGCTGGCAGAGCCATGGTCGCTGGGGGCGCCACCCGTCCCTCTGCCAGCGCCATGGCTGGTGGAACTGGGGGCCAGCGCTGGTGGAACTGGGGGCGCTGGCAGAGCCATGGTCGCTGCTTCTGATGCGGGAGCCATGGCAGCTGATGCGGGCGCACTGGCTGCTTCTGATGCGGGAGCACTAGCAGAAGCGGAAGGCGCAGATCCGCCTATTCCCCCTCCATCTCCTCCGCCACCTATTTCTCCGCCGCCCATCATGCTTCCGCCGCCTCCTTTTCCTCCATCGCCCATTCCGCCACCACCCATTCCGCCGCCTCCCATTCCGCCCATACCATCCCCTGATGGGTCGCTGATGCGGGAGCCATGGCAGCTGATGCGGGCGCACTGGCTGTGTTGTGGAGGACTCTCCTCTACTTTGCAGGAACTAGGAATTTTTCTAAGCAGTAGAGCACTCTGCTAGCTTTCCAACGAGCCGTAGATCACCTTGTTCGCCTAAGTATCGAGCGAGATATCGCCGTTTATGTGCTAGGTAGTGCTCTTAGAAGCAAGGATAGACCTCTCTGGAATTTTGGTTCGAATGTACCTTGTACTAAGAACTCTGAGTTTCACTATTGAACATGCATACAAGGCAAGTCGATTTATAGCAAATGCATTACATCGAACCGCACATGTAACATCGCATCGCTACACTCGCGTCGCGAATGCGCCGCGTGTAACATTTTGGTTGGGGTGAAATTCGGCCATCGAATTTCACACCAAACGCACCGAATTTGTCAGAATATATCTGTAACTGCCCGTAGCTGTAGTTAGTGTAGTTATTATAAACTTTGTTTGGTGGTGCACCTTCTTTGTTACTTTGCTATATGTTCTTGCAAACCTATAGTGAAGCTCTCATTTCTCCTTCTCAACTTTCTCGACACTCTCCTCAACCCTAAACCTAAACTACTAAGAACCTAACTAGCAATGGCTCCTAAGTCAAGCTAGACTTTGAGAGAATTTGCCTTGCACTTGAAGGTTGGAATGTGGTGCCGCCACGTGGCACCGAATTGTGAGTCTTCCGAAGTCAATCGGTGCAACCCCACCGATCCCTAGTCAAAGGGATCGAAGGCACCAAAGTGCCCTCGGTGGGTTGGGGGCATACAACCGCCCCACCACCGAACTCCCTCCAACAGGCTGCGCCCCCAGTGGGGGCGCTGGCAGAGTGTAACAAGACGAAGGCGATCTCGCCTCCCTCGATTTCGCCAACTCAACTCCTTGTGATCCGAACCAGAATTTGGAACACGCCCTAAGTACATTTCGGGAATTCAATGTTGGAATCCAACATTGAATTGTGCGGCTCGTAATTCTCAGTTTCCAACCTTGGGAACAATTCCAGAGAGCACGCTAGTGCTGGACACAACACGTCAGAGAACTCCAACAGCGCAGCAAAGCAATTGACAGCACGAGCAAGCATAGCTTCCTACAGCTATGGCTACTTCCAACGGTGCTCATGATCATCATTATCTACTATAGTGTGGACGACAACAAGACAATTAGTCTCTGCCCATGTGTTTAGTGAATTCCTAGGCTATGCTTATTGGTTCTAGGATATGACAACAAGGCTAGTATCTCTTGTAAATAATCATAGTGACTATACCTTGCTGTTGTTAGCTCTAGGAATAATAATGGCGACCTGAGCGACCAGCTCGAGGCGCCCATGCTAGTATCCTAGTATATTAGGATGCATCTCTGAAATGTATGCCATCATATGATCTCTTGTAAAGCTATCTTACTACTTTCATCCTGAAATTCTCCTAAGAACGCTTCCTACTACTACTACTACTCTGCCAAAACAGCTTAGTGGCTGTTTCACAGAGCCATGGTCGTTGGGGGCGCCACCCGTCCCTCTGCCAGCGCCATGGCTGGTGGAACTGGGGGCCAGTGCTGGTGGAACTGGGGGCGCTGGCAGAGCCATGGTTGTTGCTTCTGATGCGGGAGCCATGGCAGCTGATGCGGGCGCACTGGCTGCTTCTGATGCGGGAGCACTGGCAGGAGCGGAAGGCGCAGATCCGCCTATTCCCCCTCCATCTCCTCCGCCACCTATTTCTCCGCCGCCCATCATGCTTCCGCCACCTCCTTTTCCTCCGTCGCCCATTCCGCCACCACCCATTCCGCCGCCTCCCATTCCGCCACCGCCCGTTCCGCCACCGCCCGTTCCGCCACTGCCCGTTCCGCCACTGCCCGTTCCGCCACTGCCCTTTCCGCCACCCGTCCCTCTGCCAGCGCCCCCAGTTCCACCCTTCCCGTTTCCGCCGCCGTGTTTGTGCTTTTTACAAAGCGACAGTCCGCAGTGCACCCATCCGCGCATTTTCCCGCGCAGCTTGTCTGCGCGGAGCCCCGCGGAGAAGTGGAAGGCCAATGCGGTGTGGAGAGACGAAAGTAAAGTCAAGACGTTCGCTGGAACGCACTCTCGGCGGGCTACTTCCTGTAATTGTCGAATTTGGAATGCATTTCTGGAGCTCAGCTGCAGAAATTTGTACCCTCGTCGCGTCGCCAATTTTGCGCATCGCACATTGTGAAGTTGCTCGAATCTCGAAAAACGACTCGGCAGCCGTCAACGAGGGCATTGCACCAAGAAGCTGCAGCCACATGGACAACGAACTGCCGTGTCAACGAAAAGAAGAAACGAGTCAACCGTACTATCAGTCCTGGTGACCAGAAGATTTCATCAGCCGGCGTTTCACGCCGCCATCGTACTGCCGGATGAAACGAAACGAGAAGGAAATAGACAGTCCTCGATATATGAGGTTTCAGCGTCAATTTTTGAAAACTTCAAACCCAACAATTCGTACCATAAAAACACTAAGAGCTAAGTCAGTGAACTATGATCCTTACTTTCCAGTTATCAACAGCTACAGGTGGCACTCATGCACTTTCATACAGAATTGGCCAGCTCTTGCTGGATGGTGGACGACTGCTTTCGATTTCGATAGGTCAATCACAACAGTGCAACTCCATATTAGTCCATTTTAAAACCCATCCCAACACAAATCTATTGCTATTTGTGTTATGCTTGTTAATCCAGGCCATGACTCCCTATACCTTTACATCTGAACTGCAAATATCTGCACAAAATCTCATCTGTTCCAGTTGAACTGTAGATTCCCAAGGTTGCTGAACCCTCCTCCCCCACCTCCGCCCCCTCCACCCCCCATCATCCCCTCATGCCCCATTCCTACTTGCTCTTGCATCTGCAGCCCTGCTTGGAGTGCTCCTGCTGCCACAGCAGCTGAACCACCCGCTCCTGCTGCTCCCATACCTAAACCCCCCGCGCCTCCACCAACCAAACCTGCTGCGGCGAGCCGATCCAGCGACCCCAAGCCTCCCACCAAACCTACATTCCCTCCAACCATACCTGCTGCTGTGGCTCCCAAACCACCTCTAAACCCACCAGCGCCAACATCACCCATACCACCACCCCCACCGACGAGAGCAGAATTAGGCATGGACATACCTGAATCCATCAAACCAGCAACACCACCAACACCAGCGCCACCATCCATCACATTCTCAAACCTCCCCAGGTCTGCAATGTTGGCTCCTAGGCTTGCCAGTCGCTCAGCCAAAGCCGCCCCTCTCATCCCTCCCAAACCTCCTCCCACGCCTCCGCCCGTAGGTCTGGCCAAGCCTGCAGCAGAAGCCAGTCCAGCAAAGTTACCAGCAGCCCGAACCATACCCCCTGCTGCTCCTCCTATCCCGTCAGGCAGCATATCCCCCCCGCCCATCATCCCTGCCCCTCCCACACCCCCCACACCAACAGCACCGCCAGCACCAACACCAGCACCGCTTCCCACCATTCCCAACCCTGCCAGATTTGTAACCCCCATGCTTCTGAGCCGAGCGGCCATTGCAGCCACTCTGCTGCCTGCAGGACCCATCGCAGATACACCTCCCCCTGGCCCACCTCCCCCTGCTCCACCCACCCCTCCCAAACCTCCCAGGCCTGCCCCCACACCCCCATGCGAGCTCATGCCTCCTCCCATCCCCCCTTCCGCCGCTCCTTCTCTCAGCATCCCTGCAGCCGCCGCCGCTGCTGCCATGCTAGCAGCAGTGCCAGCACCGGCAAGACCAGCCCCCCCAGCAGCAGCACCACCAGTGGCAGCGGAAGCAGAGGCGGCAGCAGCGGCCTGGGCAGCAGCGCGGTTGAGCATGACCTGCTGCATCAGCTGCTGCACTGCACTCTGTGCCTCTGCCCCTCGTAGCCCCTCCAGCTTCCCTGCCTGCTGCAGCAAACTCACTGCCACGTTCCCTGCAGCTGTTGCTGCTGCCGCTTGCGATGCTGCTGCTCCTCCTCCCATCCCCGCCCCCACTCCACCTCCCCCTCCTGCTGCCGCTGCAGCTGCTGACCTGCTTGCTGCTGCTGCCGCTGCTACTGCTGCTGCGTTCCCCATCCCTCCGAAACTAACACTGCCACCACCACCAGCACCAGCAGCACCTCCCCCTCCTCCCCCCCCACCGCACACACTGCCGCTGTTGCCACTAACCCCCTGCGCAGCAGCAGCTGCTGCTGCTGCCGCTGCTCTTTCCATCGGGTTTCCCTGCGACACTGACTGCTGGTGCTGCTGCTGCTGCAGCTGTTGCAGCTGCTGCTGCTGCTGGTGTTGCAGCTGTTGCTGTTGCTGCTGCTGCTGCTGCTGCTGTTGCAGCTGTTGCTGTTGCTGCTGCTGCTGCTGTTGTTGCTGCTGCAGTTGTTGCTGCGACTGCTGCTGGCGAAGATTAGCAAGGGCTTTAATCTGAGCCTGTCGAGCCATCAGCGTGGCAACTCTATTCGCCATGCCTCCACCCCCACCCACGCACCCAGCACCTGCACTCTGCTGCAGCATGCTCTGAAGCCCACTCAAAGTCATCCCCCCTCCTCCTCCTCCTGCTCCTCCTGCCGCTCCCCCTCCCCCACCCATACCAGCGCCTCCGCCACCGCCACCGCCCCCGCCACTCATTGCTGATGCTGCCCCGCCTGCCCCATAGCTACCTGCTCTCGCCATTCCCCCGCCATTCGTCCTCCCCCCTGCGCCCATCTCCCCCCCACCAGGGCCACCGTCCCCACCTCCACCCCCCACTGCTGCTGCTGCAGACGCAGCAACGGCCTGCTGCCAGGAAGCTTCCTGGTGAGACACGGGAGGAGACATGAGAGCCGCAAACTCGCCCACAGCCCCCTGCCCTGCTGCTGCTGCTGCTGCTGCTGCTGTGCCTTCCATCCCCTCCCCACCACCACCAGCATCAGCTCCCAATGCTTCAAGCTCCTGATTCCTTCCCATGCCAAACCCCCCTGCAGCAGCAGCAGCAGCAGCCGCAGCAGCTGAGCCCATAACCCTGCCCCCAGGCCCGCCCATACTCCCGCCCATGCTTCCCCCTACACTGCCAGCGCGGGTAAAACCGCCCATCCCCCTCCCTCCTCCCCCTGCGCCCCCTGCGCCCCCCATTCCGCCCATGCCCGCGCCCATCCCTCCCCCCATGCCCGCCATGGCCCCTCCCACGGATCCAGACAAGGAATTGACAGAGGACGAGTGTCTCAGCCTTGGCGGACCCAGAGGCGCGCCCGCTGTGCTGCCAGCTGCTGCTGCTGCTCCCCCTCCTCCCCCTCCTCCCCCTCCTCCCCCTCCCCCACCTGCTCCGCCTGCTCCCCCTCCCTCCCCCACTCCTCCCACTCCCCCCACTCCTGCCCCTGCTGCTCCTCCCGCCCCGCCCCCAGCAGCACCATCAGCGGGCATACCCCCAGGCTCCCTCTCCCCTGTACTGTCCGCTCTAGACATTCCCCTCCCGCCCATACCGCCAGGCCCTGCCCCTCCCCTCGTCCCTCCCCCTCCTGCCCCCAGGGACCCCATGAGGGCGGAGATCTGGGCGGCACTGCTCATTCTCAGGGCGGCAGCTGCTGCTGCCACTGTTGCCGCCCCTGACCCCTGCCCTGCTCCCATGCTCTGCGCTCCAAAGCCCTGTGCCCCTCCTCCCCCTCCCCCTCCTCCTCCTGCTGCTGCTCCTGTGCCTGGGGATAAGGAACTCTGCACCTCCTGCTGCTGCTGCTGCTGTTGCTGCTGCTGCTGCTGTTGCTGTTGGTGCTGCTGCTGCTGCTGCAGTAGCTGCTGCTGCAGGTGTTGCAGGGGCGACCTCGGAGGAAGGTTTCTTTGCTGAGGGGGAGGTAGAGGCGGCAAACCCTGCCCCTGCCCCTGCCCCCCATGCTGCATCCCCTGGTGCTGCTGACCCCCTCCCATTCCGCCCATCCCCCCTGCTCTTCCCCCCACCACTCCTGTTCCCCCCCCGCCCTCAGCCATGAGCTGTGAGGTGGGAGTGACGGCCCGTACCTCCTCCCTCCCCTGCCCCATGCCCTGCTGCTGGGGGCTCCCTCCCTCCTCCTGCTGCTGCCCCATCGAATGCTGCTGCCCCTGTTGGCCCATAGAATGCTGTTGCTGATGCTGCCCTTGCTGCCCCTGCTGCTGTCCCACCACCTGTTCAGTAACCAGACCGAGCTCCCCTCCCCCCTGCTGCCCCTGTTGCTGCTGCTGTGCCTGCATGCGCATCTGCTGCTGATGCTGCTGCTGCAGAGGCGGCAGGCTAGGCTGCTGTAAGCCGTGCTGCTGAATCGAGTGGTCAGAGGCGCATGGGGAGGGGGGCGTGGGCTTGAGGCGCGGAAAGGAGTTGAGGCTCTCTGCAGGGTTGTGGGCAAGGGGGCAAAGGGGGACGAGCAGCGGGGGAGGGGAGCAGGGGGGTTGGGGAGAGCAAGGGGTGCAGCAGGCATTGGTAGGGTAGCCAGGAGAGGATTATTAGCAAGTGAGGGGTGCAAAACAGCATCAGCATTTGGTAGGAAAACATTGGGGCGGCCGGGGAATGGGGAGGGGACATGGGGAGGGAGGGCGAGGGTGGAGAGGGAAGTCGAGAAGTGGGGAGACTGGAGGCGAGGAGGGAGGGCAGGGCAAGAACGAACAAGAAACTGGCAAAGGTTTTACTGGACAAAGGAGCAATGTAACCAATCGTACAGGTGGCGACTCACCAACCGTACAGGTGGCAACAACTCACCGATGGGTCCAATGTTGTGCTCTCGGCTGTAGTTGACCAAGTCCTTCATGCTGTTCACCACCTCTGATATCTGCCACAGGGGATGGTGGGATGGTGTCAAAAGAAAAGGTGGAAAGCACAAAGCCGATTTGCATGGAGTCATAGCTTAATTTATGCAGTACAGCACCTACTCAGGTATTTTCAATTGGCTCGAAAATAGAGTCATGGTGCTCAATGCTCACCACCTTTGATGTCTGCTCACAATGTGACAGCCATGAAAGTGAGTGAGGGTGATAGTGAGTGATGGAGGAATAGGTTTTGTTACATGGGGTTCAGGGTCCAGAATTTGGGGTTCAGGGTTGTTGACTTCGCAAGTTGGGGTGTCCAGCTCAATACCCAAAAAAGAAGAAAGGACTTACAGCGGCACACCACATTCCACGGTTCAGCACCTCATCGCAGCCCATAGGACCTCATAGCACAGCACACCCACTGGCATGCAGGCAGCACAAGAATGTCGGCGACTGATAGCACCTGTAGCACCTGGAAGCACCCTACAGTATCGCATAGCACCTTGCAGAACCGCATAGCACACCTGCAGGCGGAGGACGTAGCGCTTGGTGAAGCTCAGATCGTTGACTCTTGGCGACTTGTAGCCGCTGAAGCACCTGAGAGCACCCTACGACATCTCATAGCATCCTACAGCGCCTCATAGCACCCCATAGAACTGCAGAGCACCTCACAGCACTGCATAGCACCTCGGAACCCCGCATGACACACCTGCAGGCAGCGCACGTAGCACTTGGTGAAGCCCAGGTCGTTGACTGTTGGGGCGTCCAGCTTGTGTGTCAACTCGCGACACATGGTGGCGAAGCTAAGGGGGGGGGGGAGCAATGGGGGGGGAGGAGGGCAGGGCAGAGGAGGAATGGATGGGTCTGTGAGTCATGGTCACGAATGAGGGAGGTAATGAAGGAAGGGAGAGAGGTGTGGGGGGGGGGGGGAGGTACGGGAGGGAAGGGCTTGCGGGTCAGCTCAGGACACATGGTCACGAAATTGTGTACGTGGGTGAAGGGAGGGAGGGGTTGTTTAAGAGGAGACAGGTATAGGCCAAAAGAGAGCAAGTCCCTTGCGAATCTTAAAGCGAGAGAGGGTGTAGAAGGACAGAAACCAAAATGTTCCTGAAAGTGGAAACTTTGCAAAAGAGGTCGGAGGGACGAGGGAGGGGGATCGGGGGAGAGGGGGGTGGGAAGTGAGTGAGGTGGACACCAGGGAAGAGGTTCAGGGGGTGGGTTGAGCAGCGCTGGAAGGGATGCTTACGTGGCGCAGTGTGAGTGGAGCTGGTTGGGCGTGAGGGACCCCGGCAGGTGGTTCTGAAACTTGAAGGCGAGATCTGCCAGGCGACTCACCTGTCACTCACAATGGGAACAACGGAGAGGTGGATAGGCACGGGGGGAGGAGAGAGGCGGGGAGAGTGGGAGGGAATGAGGGAGGGACGATGGGATGGGGGGAAGGAGGGAAGGAGCGAAGGGATGGCGGGAGGGGGGCTGCGAGAACGATCGAGCAGAACCTATTCAATGCACTGGGGAAAAAGCACAGCGGTGCTTCAAAGAGTTTCTGGGTGCGTGATGGGGTGGGTGGCGGGGTGGTGGGATGGGGTGGTGGGTGGGTGGTGGGGTGGGGTGGGGTGGGCCTCACCTGCTGCAGCACGAGGCGGCGCGGCACGAGCTCCTCGTGGTTCTGCGTGCAGAACTCCCACAGGGTGATCTGTAGACAGAGGGGCATGGGCAAGAGGGCATGGGGGGGAGGGCATGGGGGGGAGGGCATAGGGGAAAGGGCATGGCACAGGTGGGTTGAGTCAACTAATAGCACGAGCTCCTCGTGGTTCTGTGTGCAGAACTCCCACAGGGTGATCTGTAGACAGAGGGGCATGGGTGGGACGAGATTGGTGGGACGAGAACGGCGGGAGAAGAAAGGTGGGCCATGGGCGGAATGAGACAGATGTGAACAGCCTCCCATTGAACGATTCGGTGTCTGAGAGGAAGATGGGCATGACATGATACGCAATCCCACACACAAACACACACACACGCACTGAGACTCGCGAGCGCTAGCACCCCCCAACAGACACACACACACACACACACACACACACACACACACACACACACACACACACACACACACACACACAAACACACACACAGCCTCGGCACCTTTGAACGGAGTTGAAGATGATCTTGAGCTTGCCCTTGCGCACCACCCTTGGCTGCTCGCCATCTTTCCCTCCCCACCTGTCCCCCTTCTCCCCTCTCCCCCCCCACACACACTGCTACCGCACCTTGAGGTCGGAGTTGAACACAATCTTGAGCTTGCCCTTGCGCACCACCCTCAGCTGCTCAAACAGGCTCTCCTGGATGGCGTGGTCGTACTCCAATACCACGGCGCCACCTGGCAGCATGTACTCCGCGGGCAGGTCCGCATACAGCACCTCCTCCAGCACCCCGCTGTCGTACTTTATCTTGAACAGACGCGGGAGCACCTCCATGGTCATCTCTGTGCATTATAACGAGTTGGCACATAAGGGGGATGGATTGGTATGAGTGATTGAGGTGGTCCGCATACAGCACCTCCTCCAGCACCCCGCTGTCGTACTTAATTTTGAAGAGACGGGGGAGCACCTCCATGGTCATCTCTGTGCATTGTAACGAGTCAGCAACATAATAAGGGGGATGTGTGGGTGAGTGTGAGGTCCGCATACAGCACCTCCTCCAGTACCCGCTGTCGTACTTGATCCTGAAACTGCCAAAGGGCCAAATGTCCTGCAGAGGGAGGGAAGAAGACTCCTGCCGGCGGGCCATCTAACTCTCCTACTGACCTGCCTGCGCTGCCCAACACAACCCTATTGATAGCGCACGCGCAGCACACCCCCCCGTACACACGTGACACCAAAGGGGTCCACTGAAGCCTCTACCAAAACTGCCCCACGGAGGTCGCAGGGCCAGATGTCCTGAGGGAAAACACCGGCAGGCTGGCGGCTTGACTGGCTTGACTGGCTTGACTGGCAACTAACACGACCACCTGCCTGGCTGCCATAGACAATATGTACACCCTTCACTGCCCACACCACACTCACCAAATCCGCGGCCAGGACTGGCCCCACAGAGGTCGCAGGGCAAGATGTCCTGAGGGAAAACACCGGCAGGCTGGCAGCTTGACTGGCTTGACTGGCAACTAACACGACCACCTGCCTGGCTGCCATAGACAATATGTACACCCTTCACTGCCCACACCACACTCACCAAATCCGCGGCCAGGACTGGCCCCACAGAGGTCGCAGGGCAAGATGTCCTGAGGGAAAACACCGGCAGGCTGGCGGCTTGACTGGCTTGACTAGCACCACCACCTGCCTGGTTGTAAGTAACACATCCCTCACTGCCCACCCATCACTCACCAAAGCCCCTGCCAGGGCTGGCCCCGCAGAGGTCGCAGGGCCAGATGTCCTGAGGGAAGACGCCGGCTGGCTGGCGGCCGCTCCTGCCGTAGGAGGCAACACACCAGCGCTTGCGGGCATTGGGGGCGAAGTACTGGGCGACAAACTGACGCCAGAACTCCACGTTGTTATCCTGGAGGGAAAGGGGGGGGGAGGGGGGAGAGGGGAAGGAGAGAGGGGGAGAGTATGTGAGCAGGAAGTAATGCGGGGCGTGCGGGGCGAAGTACTGGGCGACGAACTGACGCCAGAACTCCACGTTGTTGTCCTGGAAGGGGGGGTGGCAAGAGAGAGAGAGAGAGAGGGGAGAGGATGTGAGCAGGAACGGGAAGGGATGTTGTTCAGAGGCGCTGCAAAGGGTCTCTGTGAGCGCGCTCCTGTTGTAGGAGGCGACACACCAATGCTTGCGGGCATGCATGGCGAAGAAACGTTGAGTGAGGGAGAGAGGGGTGTCCCATCCACACACACAAACCCATTCACCCATTCACCCACCCACCTACCTTCCCACCCACCCACCCACCAATGTTCACGCTCACAGCAGGGCGGCGGCACTGGTGGTACATGAACTCCATGAGCTTGCGCACACACCCATGCTCACACCCATTCACCCAACCAACCAACCAACCAACCAACCAACCACAGACTCACAGCAGGGCGTCGCCTCTGGTGGTACATGAACTCCATGAGCTTGCGCACACACCCATGCAGACACACACTCACCCATCCAAACACTCACACAGCCATCCAAACACTCACACACCCATTCACCCACCCCCACAGAAACTCACAGCAGGGTGGCGGCGCTGGTGATACCTTAACTCCATTGTGCACACACCCATCCACGTTGGCCGACCCATTGAGACACTCACATGCCCATGCACACACATGTTCACCCACCTAACCAAACATCCATCCATCCACCCACTCACAGCAGGGCGGCGGCGCTGGTGGTACATGAACTCCATAAGCTTGCGCACACACCCATCCACGTTTGCCGATCCGCCCACAGCAGGCAGCACACCATCCTCTGGCGACACGTCCACCACCACCGGCATCCCCATCGCTGCCGCTGCCGCTGCTGCTGCTGCTGCCGCTGCCTCCTCCCCCCCTGCGCTGCACGCCCCTTCCCCCTCGCGCTCGCCCTCACCATCCCCGCCCACACCACCTTGTAGCCCTCCTACTCCTCCTCCTGCTCCTCCTGCCCCCACTGCCCCCACTCCTACTCCCACTCCTCCTGCTGCTGCTCCTCGCCCTCCAACCCCGCCTATCCCTGCTGCTTGCGCGAGCTCTCCCACCCCCTCATCTGTTACCATAGCCTCCGCAGCAATGCCAGGTAAACCTTCCCCGATAGTTACTTCCCCAGCCATACCATCAGCGCCAGGAACACCAGCAGCCACAGCCCCAGCAGCAGCGGCGCCAGGACCAGCTGCACCGTGAGCCGTTGATTGACCGGCGCCTGCTGCATCCTGATCGTTGGATGCTCTACCAGCAGCAAGGGCGCCGCTGCCTGCAGCCTCTGCAAGAGCGAGCACGGGGAGATCAGGGCGGGCTCTTGACTGGGCCTGGGCCTGGGCCTGGGCCAGTGCTTGAAGCTGAGACTGGCGCTGCCTCAACAGCTGCTCCAACTTCTGTTTCTGCAGCTGCTGCAGCTGCAACTGCTGCAATTGCAACTGCTGCTGCTGCTGCTGCTGCGGGTCCTGTTGTGATGGTCCTGCTGAGCTCTGTGCCTGCCCATGCCCTTGCGCCTGATCCTGCTGCTGTTGCTGCTGCTGCTGTTGCTGCTGCTGTTGCTGCTGTTGCTGTTGCTGCTGTTGCTGCTGGTTCCTGGCACTGTTTAAGCTCTGCTGCTGTTGCAGCAGGAGCAGAAGCTGCTGCTGCTGCTGCACTTGCTGCTGGCTGCGAACCACCTGCTGGCTTCCCGCGCTCTCCCCATCCTCGCCTTGCCCCTGACCCGCTGCCTTCTGCTGCTGCTGCTGCTGCTGCTGCTGCTGCTGTAGAAGCATCTGCTGCCGCAGCAACAGCTGGGAAAGAGCATCAGATGGTCGCTGCGCGCCTGCCCGCTGCTGCTGTTGCTGCTGCTGCAGTTGTTGTTGCTGCTGTTGCTGCTGCTGCTGCTGCTGCTGCTGCTGCTGATGGCGTTGTTGCTGCTGCTGGTGCTGCTCCTGTGCCTCTGAGACCCTGTTTTGCGCAGTACCCTCTCTCCCCGCCTGCTCGCTCTGCTCCTTCGGCTCTTCCTTTGGCACCTGACTCGACACACCCTGTGAATCCAAATGCTCGCTAAACTCCTGCTGCTGCTGCTGCTGCTGCTGCTGCTGCTGCTGCTGCTGCTGCTGCTGCTGCTGCTGCTGCTGCTGCTGCTGCTGCTGCTGCTGCTGCTGCTGCTGCTGCTGCTGCTGCTGCTGCTGCTGCTGCTGCTGCTGCTGCTGCTGCTGCTGCTGCTGTTGCTGCTGATTCTGTTGCTGCTGGTTCTGCTGTAGCTGCTGCTGCAGCTGCAGCTGCCGCTGCCTCAGAATAAGCATCTGCTGCTGAATGAGTTGTTGCTGCTGCTGCGTCTGAATCAGCTGCTGCCGTTGCGTCATATCCATCGACCCCTGCTGCCGCTGCTGCTGTATCAGCTGCTGCTGCAGCTGCTGCCGTTGCGTCATATCCATCGACCCCTGCTGCCGCTGCTGCTGTATCAGCTGCTGCTGCAGCTGCTGCCGCCGCTCCTGAAGCTGATGAAAGAGCATCTGGTGCTTCTGCATCTGCTGCTGCAGCAACTCCTGCTCATGCTCACGATTCAGCTGCCTCTGCTGCTGTCCCGACTGCTGCTGCTGCTGTTGCTGCCCTGGCTGCAGCTGCGGTTGTTGCTGCTGCTGATGCTGCTGTTGCTGCTGCTGCTGCTGCTGCTGCTGCTGCTGCTGCTGCTGCTGCTGCTGCTGCTGCTGCTGCTGCTGCTGCTGCTGCTGCTGCTGCTGCTGCTGCTGCTGCTGCTGCTGCTGCTGCTGCTGCTGCTGCTGCTGCTGCTGATGATGATGATGATGCTGCTGCTCCTGCTGCTGTTGCTGTTGCTGTTGCTGTTGATGCTGCTGCTGCTGCTGCTGCTGCTGCTGGTGTTGCTGTTGCTGCTGCTGCTGCTGCTGCTGCTGCTGCTGCTGCTGCTGCTGCTGCTGCTGCTGCTGCTGCTGCTGCTGCTGCTGCTGCTGCTGCTGCTGCTGCTGCTGCTGCTGCTGTTGTTGCTGCTGCCGCTGCTGATGTTGCTGTTGAGGTGACACGCGATGAGATTGCTGCTGCTGCTCCTGCGGTTGCGACTGTTGCTGCTGCTGCTCCTGCGGTTGCGACAGTTGCTGCTGCTGCTGCTGCTGCTGCTGCTGCTGCTGAGCCTCCTGCTGACCCTCCAGTCCCTGTGGTGCTGACCCTCCCCCGGACCCTCCAGTCCCTGCATTTTGCTGCTGCTGCTGCTGCTGCTCCCCTTCCTCCTGCTGGCCGGACGAACCCGCGTCAAGCATGCCGTCGCAATCCCCTGGCGCCTCTCCTCCCGAAGTCCCCTCCCCCTTCCCGTTCCCCCCTTCATTCTTCTCGTTACCCGCCCCACCTTCCCCTTCCTGCGCGTCCCCCTCCGCGCCACCCTCTCCCTCGCGCGCATTCTTCCCCTGAGCGCCAGCATTCCCCCCCAAGGGACTTTGCGCACTCCCAGTAACCTGCTTTTCCTGCTGCTTGTCGCCATCCTTCGCCAACCCCTGATCGCCAGACTCGCCCTCGTGCCCAGTCTCCGTTCCATCCCGAGCGTCCCTCGCCTCCGTTCCGTCCTCTCCCCCCTCGTGACGGCCGTTCTGACCTTCCTCCTTTCCGTGCTTAGACGCTCCCTCTTGCCCCTTGCGCTGCTGCTGCATCTGAAGCCGCGTCAGATGCTGGCGTCGCTCCTTCAGCTCAGCCTGGCTCTGCATCGGCGCGCTTCTCGGCCCGAGAACCGATCCTGACGGACCGGCAGGACCGGCAGGAGAGCCGGCGCTAGGTGAAGCCGTCGTCATGTTGCCTTGTCCAGCGTCGCTGGATCCAGCGGACCCAGTCTCCTGGGCCCTCTGCATCAAAATCTGCCGCTTCTGCTTTGCCGTCAGATGCATTTCTTCGGTCGAATCCCTACCATTCGTCGGTCAATGTCAGAATAAGCAACGAAATTCCTCACATTCGTTTGCCAATGCCAGAATACACGAAAAATCCCTCACATTCGTCGGTCAATTTCGGAATAATCACGTCAATGTGTAAAAAAGTCGGCAGCAGACTCCGCGTGGTATCGAGTCGCTTCAATGTCAGAAAATCGACGGTTCAACCGGAAAGGATAAACGTTCAACTGCATTCGTCAACACTTAGCACGGCGCCGCAGCTTCGGACGAAAACGACAAGTTGCGTCGACTCAAAAATCACCTCAGATCAACGGCTAATTTGAAAAAAAAAAACCTGCATTGTCCACATTGAGACGAACGTCGCAACGTCGGACGAGGCGAGACAAACGCCGAAAACCTATAATGTCACGACAATGCAGTCGCCGACCCCTCACATAAAATGCTACTAAACTACACTTAGGGTTCTAAAATCCACCGGGAAGCTAAAACGACTTACGATTCTAAAAGCGGACAGAAGCGATGTAGCTTCAACAAGGAAATTAAACCACTCCTTCAGATGTGAAACCTGTGCTAACTCGAAGTCAATATGCAACTATTTTGGGACCAGTACACGCATTGAACTCGAAACTAAAAACCACCGTGTCAAGCCGCGCCACGTGTACACGCTACTAGCGTCAGACACACTCGTACTTTCCTCCCTAAATAACATGTAACTAGTAAAGCTGGATGCGTTCTTTCTTTTGGAAACACGGCAGCCAGAAGAGGCTCGGCTCGTACCCAAGTGCTTTATTTCGCACAGCGAATCGTTAAATGGAGGATGCTGCGGTAAAGGCGCGAGGCAGCCAAAAGCGGCGGAGGTGGTGAGACTGAATAAACCAGGTCGGCATGGGATGGCTGTGCCAAGTTGCTGTCAAGCCACAGGAAACAGTGAAAGCAAGAATGACCAACACGAATGGGTGCGTGCGTAGCGTACAGGCGGAGCGGAGGGAGGGCCTGGCCAGGTGGGTGGTTGGTTGCAGAGACGCAGGGAGGGTGCCCCAGCGATTGCAGCTACTGCAGCGATAGTGGGTGAGAGGGGGATGGATGAGTGAGTGATATGCAGGGAGGCCATGTGTACGGTTGGTGGGTGGCTTGGTTGGTGCCTGAGAGGGTGGTTGGTTTGGGTGGAGCCCAGATTGCCTTCCTCTCCTGTACCTTCGTGCCTGTGTGCCCTGTGTGCCTGTGTGCCTGCCTGCATGCCCTGCATGCTTCTTTCCTTTCTGTTCTGACCTTGGGAACACCGCATCATCACAGACAGGACTGATGAATTTATTGCTCCGTCTGGACTTCGCCTTGAAGTTAGCGGGTGCTTGTTCTGTCGTGCCCTCCTTCCATATGATGCCTTGACGGAGGTGTGACTGGTCGTGGCAAAGACAGAAATCGTGACGGATTTCTCGTCAACGTGGAGTCGTGGTGCTGGCGCGTGACACGGAGGGCGTATGGATGTGGGAGGTTGGGCGGGCGGTTTGCGTGCATGGTGTGTCGAGCGGTGGTTGGCTGGTGGTGGTGCACCGGACGAAGCGCGTTGACTGTACGGCTGAAATGTAAGCAAACGGCGACTGTGGACAATCCAACGGATAGAGCTGGTTTGGATCAAGCTCGTCCGGGATGTGTTCTACACCAAACCACCCAAATCAAGTCAATCCATGCCAAACCAGACCGAAGCAACTGGCTCGCTGGTGGTGTGTGACCAAACACACAGACGCATCTATAGGATGGCGCAGGTACTGTATATTGCTGTCGGATGCTCACTTCAAAACCTCTTCCATATCTTCTTCAACACTGTCCACCTCACCACTTCGTTCTGAATCTTGCTTTACACTGCATCTGCGGTTTCCTCCCTCGTCTGACATATTTTCAACCTTGCATCGCGTTGATCGACGATTTTCGTCGCTTTACGACCACGCGCGCCAGTGATTAATCCGTGCGCCCGCAAGCCCTGCTTTTTTTCATAAGCATTTGGCCCTGCTCTTTTAAACACTCCGAGTTTACCGCATCTGGCCCTTTTTCACATAGTCCCAGCCAGACCGCTGGCTGTCATGCCTCCGTCTCCAGCAGCCACCTCCACGTCATCGCGGCTTCGCACCGCGATCACGCAGTACGGGCGCCTGGCGGTCGCCGTCCACATCGGCGTGTCGACCGTCTCGTTCGCGGGCCTGTACCTCGCCATCCGCAGCAGCATCGACGTGGAAGGGCTGCTGAACAGAGTAGGCCTCCTTCCCTCA